AGGGGGCAGAATAGAGCTGGACTTCCTAATGTGCGGGGTCCACGCAGAGTCTTTCAGAGGATCACGAGGTCCAAACTATTCTCATAACATACTAACCGGCTTTTTGTCTTTTTAATTGACTTATTTTATAAGCAAACGGTGAAGTTCCCAAAGACTGTCTGACATGTAAGACTTTAACAAATTCAAGGCAGAACCAAGTTTGAAAATCTGTCTTAAGCCAGACATTAAAGAAATCTGCAAAGATGTAGAACAATGTTACTCTTGTTACAAATGAGACCGTGTCATTCTAATGTTTTTAGGAAAATTGTTTTGCATACAGATTTTATGTGTATGGGTAATGGTTTTTAAATGAATAAATATTTTAAGTTTCCCATTTCATTTTGTAGTAAGGCTTTATGTAAACAGGGGAAACCTTCTCACATATTGAAGATTACTTTTTTTTTTTTTTTTTTTTTTTACAGGCAGAGTGGACAGTGAGAGAGAGAGACAGAGAGAGAAAGGTCTTCCTTTGCCGCTGGTTCACCCTCCAATGGCCGCCGCTGCAGCCGGCGCACCGCGCTGATCCTGGCAGGAGCCAGGAGCCAGGTGCTTTTCCTGGTCTCCCATGGGGTGCAGGGCCCAAGCACCTGGGCCATCCTCCACTGCACTCCCTGGCCATAGCAGAGAGCTGGCCTGGAAGAGGGGCAACCGGGACAGAATCCGGCGCCCCAACCGGGACTAGAACCCGGTGTGCCGGCGCCGCAAGGTGGAGGATTAGCCTATTGAGCCACGGCGCCGGCTATTTTTTTTACAACATGATTGGTTACAAATATCTTCAGAGAAAAGTATTACCCCAAAAAGGAGGCTATTGAAAAGACAGCCACTTCTGGGAATAGATCAGGAATGTATAAAGAACAAACAATTGCACCAGTTGCTGCAGATGGCTGAAACACATCCCATGTACACACCCCCCAACCTGGTGGATGAGATTAATAGCTGTCTGGATCTTTCTCAGACAGGGCTCAGTGGGTGCTTTCTTGAATGCTTTGTAGGCTTTTTAGAAGCAGTTTGCTCTCAGCCACTTTTTTATAATTAAACTGTCACAGGACACAGTATTTGTGTCCAAGTGACCCTATTTTACTATTAATGGTGTCACAAGAGCAACGATGCAGGGGCAGGCATTTAGCCTAGTGGTTAAGATGCCCACGTCCTACGTGGCGGTACTTGGGTTCAATCCCCAGCTCTGGCGTCTGCTTCCTGCTTCCTGCTGATGCAGAACCTGGGAGGCAGCCGTGAGGCCACTCTCATATGAGACCTGAATTGAGTTTCCAGCTTTGGTCCTGGCCCAGCCTTGGCCTTTGTGGACACTGGAGGAGTGATCAAGCAGATGGAAGCACTGTCTCTCTGCTCTCTTTTTTGCCTCTCAAGTAAATAAATAAATAATTTTCTTAAAGAAAAAAAGAAGAATGCAATGAAAGTACCATGGCATAAAACATGGAAAGACAGGTTAACTCTGATATCATGCTGGAGTGCCGCGGGGCATACAGGAAAAAAACAGTGCAAATATTCTTTGCGTTATGATGGGGTTACATCTTCATAAACCCATTGTTAAGTTGAAAATATATTCAATACACCTAACCTATGAACATCATAACTTAGCAATGCAGTAGACTGGGCAGAATGTGCTGGTTTTCCTCTTGTGATCACATGGATGCCTGGGAGAGCTGCTTCATTGCTGTGAGAGACGATCTTTCTGCATATCACTAGTGCAGGAAAAGATCAAAATTCAAAATGTGAAGTTCTGTTTCTAATGAATTTGTATCACTTTTGCACCATTGTAAAGCTAAAAGTTCTAAGTCAAACCATTCTCATCTGACTTACAGGGACCATCCATAAATATCGGACTAGGTATTTTATATAGTTTCAGGCATTCACTGTGGGTCTTAGAGCACATCCTGGATAGGGGAGGGCTACTATGTCAGTGTGGGTCCATTTTTGAACTCTTTATTATGTTACAGTAGTCTATGTGCCTATCCTTGCTTTAGAAGTCCCATGTTAACTACTGTAGCTTTATGGTAAACCTTGAAATCTGGTGTTTAAAACTTCAATTTTTTTTTTTTTGGACAGGCAGAGTGCACAGTGAGAGAACGACAGAGAGAAAGGTCTTCGTTTTTTCTGTTGGTTCATCCCCCAGTGGCCGCTGAGGCTGGCGTGCTGCGGCCAGCGCACCGTGCTGATCCGAAACCAGGAGCCAGGTGCTTCTCCTGGTCTCCCATGGGGTGCAGGGCCCAAGGACTTGGGCCATCCTCTACTGCACTCCTGGGCCACAGAAGAGAGCTGGACTGGAAGAGGGGCAACCGGGACAGAATCCGGCGCCCCGACTGGGACTGGAACCTGGGGTGCCGGCGCCGCAGGCGAAGGATTAGCCTAGTAAGCCGCAGCACTGGCCTCAATGTTGTTTTTTATAATTAAGATTTCTTGGATATTCTAGTCTCTTTCTATGTCCATAAACATTTTGGCTAAGTTATTGTTAAGAGTATAAAGAGGTCACAAGACAAAGGTTTTAGAGCTGCTGATTCAGAGCAGGGGCCAGCACCAAAGCTCAGCTCTACCATTTATTGGCTGTGGGACTTCAGCAAATAATTAAATTTTTCCATATTTTTGTTTCCTCATTTTTTTAAAGATTTATTTATTTATTTGAAAGGCAGAGTTAGAGAGAGAGAGAGAGAGAGAGAGAGAGAGAGAGATATTTTCCATTTGCTAGTTCACTCCCCAAATGGCCATGATGGCTGGGACTGAGCCAGGCCAAAACCAGGAGCCCAGAACTCCATCCAGGCTGCCCATGTGAGTGGAAGGAGCCCAAGCACTTCAGTCATCTTCTGCCTTCCCTGGTGAATTTCCAGGGAGCTGGATTAGAAGTGGAGCAGGTGGGACTCGAACTGGTGCTCATGACACTGACACTGCGAGCAGCTAGTTAAGCTGGCTGAGCCATGTCAGCCCTCTTGTTTTCTCATCTTTAAATTGCTCAGTACTAACACCTGTAATCTAGAATCATGTTATTAAGTATTAAAGATTACATAGATGTTTTGTGCTTGTCAAATGAGACATACACATGTATTTAAAAATAATATGAAGTCCAAGGAACCAGTCTAAAAAAATCAAAAAATAAATATGTAGCATTTTGACAATTTCAGGACACTCAGAATCCAATTGTATCAGCTTCACTTAAAAATATACAAACTAGGGCCGGCGCCGCGGCTCACTAGGCTAATCCTCCGCCTTGCAGCGCCGGCACACCGGGTTCTAGTCCCGGTCGGGGTGCCGGATTCTGTCCCGGTTGCCCCTCTTCCAGGCCAGCTCTCTGCTGTGGCCAGGGAGTGCAGTGGAGGATGGCCCAGGTGCTTGGACCCTGCACCCCATGGGAGACCAGGAAAAGCACCTGGCTCCTGCCATCGGATCAGCGCGGTGCGCCGGCCATAGCACGCCGGCCGCGGCGGCCATTGGAGGGTGAACCAACGGCAAAGGAAGACCTTTCTCTCTGTCTCTCTCTCTCTCACTGTCCACTCTGCCTGTCAAAAAATAAAAAAAAAAAATATACAAACTAACTAGCGCTGTGGCTCAATAGGCTAATCCTCTGCCTGCGGCACTGGCACCCCAGGTTCTAGTCCCGGTTGGGGCACCGGATTCTGTCCTGGTTGCTCCTCTTCCAGTCCAGCTCTCTGCTGTGGCCCGGGAGTGCAGTGGAGGATGGCCCAACTCCTTGGGCCCTGCACCCACATGGGAGACCAAGAGAAGCACCTGGCTTCTGGTTCCTGGCTTCGGATCAGCGTGGTGCACCAGTGCGCCGGCCGCAGCAGCCATTGCAGGGTGAACCAACGGAAAAGGAAGACCTTTTTCTCTGTCTCTCTCACTGTCCACTCTGCCTGTCAATATATATATACAAAGTATATAAATACATAAAATACACAAAACCCATTATATTTCTCTATACCTGCAATGAATTATTGAAAGATTAAAAATAACATTTAGTAGTAGCATCAACAAACAATAAATATCTAGGATTTCATTGTAAAAAATGCACAAGGCCTATACACTGAAAATTACAAAATGCTGCTGAGAGAAATTCAAAAAGATCAAATACATGGGGAGAGCCTCCATATTCATGGATTAGAAGACTTAGCACTGTTAAGATGTTAATTCTTCCCAACTGACCTAGGGATTCAATTCCAACCCAAACAATACCCTAGCAGGCAATTTTGTAGACAATTCCTAAAATTAATATGAAAAAGCAAATAAGGGCCAGCACTGTGGTATAGGGGGTAAAGGGTACCAGTTCAGGTCCCAGCTGCTCCACTTCTGATCCAGCTCTCTGCTAATGTGCCTGGGAAAGCGGAGGAGGATGGCCTGAATGCTTGAGCTCCTGGCTCCTGGTCTCAGATTAGCCCAGCTCCAGCCATTATGGCCATTTGGGGAGTGAATCAGTGGATTGAAAATCTCTCCCTCTCCATCTCCTACCTCTCTCCTGACCCGAAACTCTGCCTTTCAAATAATTTTTTTTAAAAAAAGCAAATAATGTAGGAGAGACAAAACAATATGAAAAAAAAAACAATGAAGTTGGAGGGCTTCTACTACCTAATTACTAGACTTACTATGAAACTAAGAAAATCAAGATCAGAAAAAGTGTAAGACTAGACATGGATTAACCAGACTGTACAGAGAAGCCAGAGATAGACGCCGACTTACAAAATGCGGGTCAATAAATTTTCTACAAAGGCGCTGGTATAACCCAAAGGCAGAAAGGAATGCCTTTTAAATACATAGCGCTGCAACAGCAAGATATCTATGTGCAGGAGAGGACCTCAACCCTTACCTTGCATCACAGACAAAAATTAATTCACTGTGGGTCACTGACCAAGATGTAAGTGCTAAAACTATGTACTATCTAGAAGGAGATAGAGTGTGACCGTGGGGTAAGCAAAGACTTCTTGGTAACAGCTTGTACTGTTTTTATTCTATTTTAGGTATTTATCCCTAAGGAATGAAAACAAGCTGACACCTGCATGTTCCCAGCAGCCTTACACTGGAAACGTCTGACTGGACCACTGGTGAATGGACATACAGTGGCACAGTCACACAGTGGCATACTCCTCGGCAATAAAGAGCACAAACTACAGACGCATGTAACAGAGGCACTGTTATGTTGAAAAGAAAAAGAAAGGCAGACAGAAACAGGTACACAGGGTACCTGGAAAAGCCCATGGGCAATGGAATTAAGGGGTGTGTGCTGCGGTGCCGTGTTTAAGCCACCACTCAGGACACCCACATTTTACAGGCGCCAGTTTAGGCTCCTTCCAAGCCAGCTCCCTGCTGATGTACCTGCTATGGCAGCGGATGAGTCCGTGCAGTCCACATGGAAAGCCTGGATGGGATTCCTGGCTCCTGGCTCTGGCCTGGCCCAGAACTGACGGCTGCAGCCATTTGGGGAGTGAGCCAGCGGATAGAAGATCATTCTGTCATTCCTTCTTCCTTTCACTCTATTTTTCTAATAAATGTCTTTTTAAAAACAAGAAAATGGAATTAAAAATAGCTCTGTTTTGGTGCAACATAATTCTGAAATCCATGCATACTTTTTTCAAAATACATATTACCCAGAACTGTTCATTGCACAATGCATACATGTATCAAAACAGCACACTGTACCCCCAGAAAGAGGTAAAATTATTATGCCAGTTGTCACTCCCCCTCTTCGCGGAGGACCGACACAGGACCCTGCGCTGTTCTTTTGTCTGCTCGGCCCCTCCCGGGTTTGCTGCTGGTTCTTCCCGGGTTGGCTACCGTCCCTTCCACCTCCGTGGAAGGGCGGTTCCCCCTGCCACTTTCCCCACTTCCGCGGGGGAGCGGCACACCGCCGGCCGGCTCTCTCGGGGGCTGCACAGGTGTTCCTTCAGATAGATGTTCCCCTTAGATGTTCCTGGTGCATGTTGTCTCTCTCCTCCTTTATAGTCCTCTTCCACCAATCCCAACTCTGCTACCCACACGCCGAGTACGCTGCTCTCCTCCAATCAGGAGCAGGATCAGCTCCTGCAGCTCAATCAAATTGGCGAGAGGCAGCTTTGTAGAAGCTGTTTACTCCTCCCCAGCACCATATCGTGGGAGAGCAGATGCATAGAATAAATCTTAATTCCAGTAACTTAGCCTAGTCTCAGTTGCTCCCCACAGTCAGTCATCAACAAATTACTAAATAATGCTATGTAAGTAATTTTTTAAAAAGATTTATTTAATTTGAAAGTAAGTTATGGAGAGGGAGTGGCAGAGGCACAGGTAGAGAGCTATCTTCCATCCGCTGGTACACTCCCCAAATGGCCATGATGGCTGGGGTTGGGCCAGGCCAAACCCAGGAACCAGATGCTTCATCTGGGTCTCCCAGGTAAATGCAGGGCCCAAGCACCTGGGCCATCTTCCGGGCACATTTGCAGGGAGTTGGATTAAAGTGGTGCCCATATGGGAGGCTGGCATTGCAGGTGGTGGCTTAACCTGCCATGACACAGCATTGGCCCAGTTGTAGGTAATTTTGCCATGATACTTACCCTTTCTACCTGCTTAACCATTCTTCTGACAGAAAGAATTTTTTTTTTTTTTTTTTTTTTTTTTTTTTAGTTTGAAAGGGAGAGTTACAGAGAGAGAGAAAGAAAGAGAGATCTTCCATCTGATGATTCATTCCCCAAGTGGCCACAATGGCCGGAGCTGAAACATCCGAAGCCAGGAGCCAGGAGCTTCTTCCAGGTCTCCGGGAGACCAAGGACTTGGGCCATCTTCTGCCGCTTTCCCAGGCACATTAGCATGGAACTGGATCAGAAGAGGAGCACCTAGGATTTGAACCGGCATGGATATGGGATGCTGGTGTCGCAGGTAGCTTTACCTGCTATGCCACAACGCCGGCCCCAGGAATTTTTATTTATTTATTTGACGTGAAGATATTTTAGAACAGCCTGCCTCAGGGGCTGGTATTGTAGCACAGCTGATTAAGCCACTGAGTGCTACTCCAGCATCCCATACTGGGGGTGCCCTTTTGAGTCCTGGTTGTTCTGCTTCTGATCCAACTTCATGCTAATGCACCTGGGAAGGCAGCAGATAATGGTCCAAATACGTGGGCCCCTGCTACCCATGTGGGAAACCAGGATAGAGTTTCTGGCTTTGGCCTGGCTCAGACTTGGCCACTGTGGGCATATGGGGAGAGAACTAGCAGATGGAAGAGATCTCTCGCTCTCTGTTGCTCTACCTTCCAAATAAATACAATAATATAAATCTTTTTTTAAAAAAATAGCTTGCATCATATTTCTCATACTGTGTTCAATTTTTGCTAAGATTACAAGAATTCTAAATCTTAAGTTAGGGTCCTTCTTGGTCAGAGATCATTAGCACTTCCAACTTTGTCGCTAGGTTAGTAATTCTAAGGCAAGAATAAAAGCCCCTAATGGGGTTGCAATACAGTCTCCCAGGAGTCCTAAACCATTATTTGATAACTGTCATTCTGCAAGAACCAGAGGTACAGAAAATTAAAGGCCTCAAAACTAAGGGCTGTCAGTAGTGCTGTGAATTTTGAGCATCACTTCATTTTAGATCTCTAAACATGTGTTCCAAGCAGCAATCATTCAAAGTTTAAAATCTATTTCATTTGAAATTATTTCTATTAAATGCTAATCATTGGGCCAGCACCGCGGCTCAATAGGCTAATCCTCCACCTAGCGGCGCCGGCACACCAGGTTCTAGTCCCGGTCAGGGCGCCGGATTCTGTCCCGGTTGCCCCTCTTCCAGGCCAGCTCTCTGCTGTGGCCAGGGAGTGCAGTGGAGGATGGCTCAGGTGCTTGGGCCCTGCACCCCATGGGAGACCAGGAAAAGCACCTGGCTCCTGGCTCCTGCCATCGGATCAGCGCGGTGCACCGGCCGCAGCACGCCAGCCGCGGCGGCCATTGGAGGGTGAACCAACGGCAAAGGAAGACCTTTCTCTCTGTCTCTCTCTCTCACTATCCACTCTGCCTGTCAAAAAAAAAATGCTAATCATTGAGAAGAACATCATTTTATGTCACAGAAACTTTACATTCACCAGAAAGCAGCATCGAGTAGCCAGAGACAACATTTCTGTAAATGCTGGAGAACGCAGTCTCTTCCTGGACTTCCTCCAGGCACTCGAGCAGGCAGCAGCCTGTCACCTGGGGCCTCTCTCATTTCCTCTCTCAGTTCATTAAGCCTTAGGCTTTCCCCAGAAACACACAACCCGCACGGATCCTTCTGGCAGTCAGGAAAGATCAGCTCAAAGGCGGCAGAAGTTGATACGCAACTCTGGTGTGCATTAAGACCACAATATATTGCCACCTGCACCCCGGATTATATTTTGTTGGTTGAGAAGCCGCAGGAGCCCATGTTTAAATCTCAGAGTCGGGGGCTTATTTCATACAGACCGGCTTCTCTTTGGCTGTCAAAAGGTGAATAGAGTTCAGAAGCAACAGCCAAGTTGGCAACCATTTATCTTTGCCTTTTCCTCTAACATAATAATAAGTAAACGCCAAATAAGTCAGCAGGTTAGCAGCTTATCCCCAGAGGCTTCATTCAACACGTCAGTTCTGTAAATCATTTTGTTTCTTTCCAGGAAGGCTTAACATGCCAGGACTCCAGGATAGCATTCATAAACACATTTGTAAACACCACCGACTGTCCTTCCCCCCAGAATCACACGGCTACTTATGCTCCATTGGAAACGGGAATAAAATAACATCCTTACTCAGAAATGAGAGGGCTTGAAGAAATGCAGTGGGCATGAAAGAGCCACATGCAACTTGACCTCAGCGAGCAAGGAGACAAAGGCAGAGGAGGACTTTGATTACTCGGCTCGGCTTTCCTCTTAACCCGGAGTGAGCACTCGAGGTGGCAAAGGCGCTGCTGGGAGTGGAAGGAACGGATCTTAGGCCTGCTCTTCTCTCCTGGTCCTAAAGTGGGGGCTAAATGTCTGCTTGCATTGATTTGAAGCACTCTAAGCATTGCCAATGAACAAGTACAGGAAATCACAGATACACGCTCTCTTCTTAGATGCTGCCTCCTTTGTGGGGCTGTCTGGATGTACAGCTTCTTTCTCTAGACCCTGCAATATTATGCTTGATATCTTCATTAAGATTTGCAAGTTATGTATCTTCTATGTGGGTAATAAGTCTACAGATCTCCCTTTTTCACAAAATTTTAAACTTCCACAGTTCAGAAACAAAGTTACCTTTTTGATTCTCACAGGGTCAAGCAGAGTGCTTTAGAAATGGGGGGTGCAAAGTAAACACTTGTTAAATGAATAAATACAGTGGTGTCAGCTGCATGATGACTGGAAGTTATGATTTTAGGAGTTCTAATAAAAGTTGAAAGCGGGGCTGGCACTGTGGCATAGCAGGTAAAAGCTGCCATTATTGGCATTCCATATGGGTGCCAGTTTGAAACCGGCTGCTCCACTTCTGATCCAGCTCCCTGCTAATGCACCTGGAAATGCGGCAGAAGATGGCCCAAGTATTTGGGTCCCTGCACCCACGTGGGAGACCTGGAAGAAGCTCCTGGCTCCTGGCTTTGGCCTGGCCTAGTCCAGGTAGTGGGGGCTATCTGGGAGGGTGAGCCAGAGAATGGAATTCATTTTCTAATTCCGCCTTTCAAATAAAATAAAATAAATAAATCCTTAAAAACAATAAGCTGAAAGCAAGTCAGACAAAGAAACCACCTTTTTGCTAGTTGCTCTCTACACCCTGGCCCCTTTCCTCTCTTTCCTCTGTGTTTGGTATCATGATTGTGCATACTACAGAGGGAGATGGATCCGGAAATGTCCTTCCAGGAATTCATTTCATATCCGATGTTTATTTTGATAACCCTCAGATGAACCATATTTTATCGATTTCTGAGGTTAAACTGGCTAATCATTCCAGATAGGGAAAGCAGTTCTTCCTGTGACCAGCGTGCTGTCAGAAGCCTCAGAAGACACTCTGGAGATTCTACAAGCATGACAGCATGGCTCCATAAGACTTTGCTAACAAGCGACTGCCTACATGAAATGAAAGAGCCAGGAGGAACCCTGAATTCCTTTCAAGTGAGAAGCAAAAATGGTCCTTGGCATTCAAAGGACAGGATCTAACTAGAGACTCATTAATGAGGGCTACCGGTTGTTTCAGGCATAGTCAAATGACATACATGTATCTAAGGAGACAAAGGTCAACTTTAGCCAAAGAAAATTACCTGGGATAAGATTTTTCCCCTCGCTTTTCACCTGTCTTATATGTTATTTATTTTTTTTGACAGGCAGAGTGGACAGTGAGAGAGAGACAGAGAGAAAAGTCTTCCTTTGCTGTTGGTTCACCCTCCAATGGCTGCCACGGCCGGCGCACCACGCTGATCCGAAGGCAGGAGCCAGGTGCTTCTCCTGGTCTCCCATGGGGTGCAGGGCCCAAGCACTTGGGCCATCCTCCACTGCACTCCTGGGCCACAGCAGAGAGCTGGCCTGGAAGAGGGGCAACCAGGACAGAATCCGGCGCCCCAACCAGGACTAGAACCCGGTGTGCCGGCGCCGCAAGGCGGAGGATTAGCCTAGTGAGCCGCGGCGCCGGCCTTATATGTTATTTAACTGTTAGGTTCAAGGTGTGGCAAAACTTTAACAATTGGGAAATCTTGACCTTTGACAAAATTATGGTTATCTGGAAATTTCTAAACGATGATCAACTTCTATCACAATGTACACTTTCCCCCTTTGCTTTGACAGGGACAACTTCTAGTCTCTTATCTGTGAACGATACAAAAACAGCTGGCAAGTTGTCTGAAAATCATAGAGCACTTCAATGTTCATTAGGCATAGATTTCATCCGAAGATGAACATTACAGGCTCAAAGCCTCCTAGTTGATAAGAATTAAGTCTTCAGCTAGGGATTTCTGTGCCTTGAGTTGTAAAGGAGGTTCACAGAAAAGTAATCAGAAACTAGCCTGGCTGGAGAGAAAAAAGAAGAACCTATGAGAGACGTGGGGCCGTGGGCGGTACTTGTGACTTGCTTTCTTAACAAGCTTAGGGACCTTGAGCAAATTACTTAAGTTCCCATCTGTAAAAGACTCGACTTTGACGATTTCTAAAGCTTCCTCTAGCACTATCAATTTTCAAAGGCCTAACGTTTTTCCTTAAGTCCTTGATTAGCTCATTCAATTAGCTATTTGAGTACTTTCAGTGAACATAATGAAGAAATAAAAATAACGGCTCCTGCCCTGGAAGAGTTGATGAGCCGGTCAGAAAGATGGAGAGCTGGGGCCAGCATTGTTGTGTGGGCATCCCACATGGGCATCAGTTCTTGTTCCAGCTGCTCCTCTTCCGATCCAGCGCTCTGCTTGCAGCCTGGGAAAGCAGCAGAAGACGGCAAAGAGATTGAGCCCCTGTACATGCAGGGGAGACCTGGAAGAAGCTTCAGGCTCTGGATCGGCCCAGCTCTGGATGTTGTGGCCATCTGGGGAGTGAACCAGCGGATGGAAGTCCTTTCTCTCTGCCTCTCCTCTCTCTGTCTGTAACTCTACCTCTCAACTAAAATTAAAAAAAAAAAAAAAAAGAAAGAAAGCTGGAAGACTATTCATAGCTCCTCACTCAAGGCCAGGCACCAGGTGCTCACTCATCCATAAAGGTTCAAAACAGAGGTCACGCAAGCCCAGCAAAGAATGCGGGAAAAAAGTAAGCAAAACTCCACAGATGCATGCAGGAGGTGGAGAGGGTAATTCACTGCCTCAGTCCACCAATGTATACCCAACGTCTGCTATGCACCAGTTCTGCACTGAGCACTGGGGATCCTGGAGTGACTCAGCCAGACCAGGTGTCTTTATTAGCTTATTTACATTCGAGGTGATGGAGCAAGGAAGTTTAATAAAGAAGTGACAGTCTGAGAAAAACTCTTCCAAGAAGAACCTGAACACAGTAGTTCCAGTTTATCTGCAAGGAATAAGTCTCAAGGCCTGAAACTGTATAGTACTGAACTCTATGTATGTTTTTTTTCTATAGCTTATAGCTACCTAAACACACCTGGGGTAAACTGTCACCTTTTCACTTAAATGAAACACTTTACAGCATATAGGACTTGCCAGTCTTACGACTCCTACATTTTGAGGTCATTATTAAGTAAAATAAAGTTAAGCATAGTACTTCAATGAGAGTACTTCTTATGAGAGTCATAGTACTTCAGTGAGAGTCAGTCTGATAACTGAGCCAGCCACCAGCTAACGGATAGGCGGGTAGTTTTACAAGTGTGGGTATGCTGGCCAGCGCCACGGCTCACTAGGCTAATCCTCCGCCTTGCGGCGCTGGCACACCAGGTTCTAGTCCCGGTTGGGGTGCCGGATTCTGTCCAGGTTGCCCCTCTTCCAGGCCAGCTCTCTGCTGTGGCCAGGGAGTGCAGTGGAGGATGGCCCAAGTGCTTGGGCCCTACACCCCATGGGAGATCAGGATAAGTACCTGGCTCCTGCCATCGGATCAGCGCGGTGCGCTGGCCGCAGCGGGCCAGCCGCGGTCATTGGAGGGTGAACCAACGGCAAAGGAAGACCTTTCTCTCTCTCTCTCACTGTTCACTCTGTCAAAAAAAAAAGTGTGGGTATGCTGGACAAAGGGATGTTTCACCTCCAGGCAGGGGTGGTTCAAGATATCAAGGTGCTACCTAAGAAATGTCTATTTCTGGAATCTTCCATTTAATATTTTCAGACTGTGATTACTCTCAGGTAACTGAAAACACAGAAAAAGAAACCATGGATGAGGAGGAGATAGTGTAACAAAAAGTGATAGAAAAAGAATGTCTTGAGGCTGGTGCCGTGGCTCACTTGGTTAATCCTCCGCCTGCGGCGCCCGAATCCCATATGGGTGCTGGCTTCTAGTCCCAGTTGCTCCTCTTCCAGGCCAGCTCTCTGCTGTGGCCCAGGAGTGCAGTGGAGGATGGCCCAAGTCCTTGGGCCCTGCACCCCATGGGAGACCAGGAGAAGCACCTGGCTCCTGGCTTCGGATTGGTGTAGCTCCGACCGTTGTGGCCTTTGGGGAGTGAACCAACAGAAGGAAGACCTTTCTCTCTGTCTCTCTCACTATCTGTCAAAAAAAAAAAAAAAGTAGTAGTTCTCAGCTGAGGATAATTTTGTTTCCCAAAGGGCATTTGGCAAAATCTGAAAACATTTTTGGTTGTCATGATTGGGGGTGTAGCATATAAGAGGGGGATATTTATTGCAGAAGCTGAAAAAAAAAAAAAGGACCTGCACTAAGGGAATATTTCAGTCCAAATTGTGCTTGTAGTCATTTTTAAGTCCTAAATCCATGTTCTCCCCAGCCTGAATCCTTTGTTTTTCCCCTTTTCTACAGAAAAAATAAAGATGAACAGGTGTCAAGTGGCTCAGTCATTGGTTAACTTTCTTAGGAAATTTCCGTTAGGGCCCAAGGAATCCTCTGAAAAGTTCCACAGGGTACTAAATACGAGAGTATTTTAAACAGTTCGTGGAAAAATAGTTTATTTTGGTTCAAAAATTTTTGAAATCCATGAATACGCAGAATCTTCAAAAAAACTCGTGGAAAATATGTACTACAAAAAAAAAAAAAAAAAAAAAAAACAAACTACGCGTGGATTCCAAGATTTATTGTACCAAAAAAATTTTTTTTTTCTATCCCAATTTCCAATTTCTTTTAGAAGCCCCTTGGCTGTTACTAAGCAGGTGGAAAAGACTCTGAAGAGGCAGGTCCCAACTACTCCCAGGAGTCACCCCTTGCGGAAACGCGGTGCCCAGAGTAGGGGCAGGTGTGTTCCATTTGTATAATTATTTGTATAGAAATTACAGCAAAAAAGACGGCCAAGTTGGGGCCAGGGAAGGGGTTGGCGACGCCCTCGCCCTGGGGACCTCTCTCTCTCACCCCTGATGTCGGGCTCCGGTCCCTCCAGGGTTGGGGCTCCCCTCCCCCTGGATCCCAGCGCCGACCTGAGGTTTCTCTGGGACCCCCGCCCTGGCCCACATTAGCTCCCAGGCCCCTCCGGCCCTACCCTTAAGCCAGGCCCTGCGCCTCACCTCGCAGGCCGTTTTCGGGTTCCCAGGGAGTCACGAGGTCACTCGCGTCCCTCAGGACTGGGAGCCGAGCGGTACCGGCCAGCAAAGAGCGCGAAGCGCGGCGAGAGACCGGGAGGCTGAAGCCGCCTGCGGGCCGGAGTCGAAACCTCCGGGAGCCCGCGCGTCCACGGGGCTGGGCCGGCTGGGGACACGCCCCGTCTTTTGCATATTCATGAAGCTGGCCGAGGCCTGTCGCTGGGACCAGCCGGGGAGAGATAATGAATTATTCATGAAGGCGTGCCTAGTCCCGCCCAGGATGGCACCGTTAATTATTCATGAGTGCAAAGAGCCGGTCTGGGCTGGAAATAGGCGGTTGAGTCCGGATCAGGGCGAGGTTGGCGTCGTCCAGCGAAGGTGAGCGTTTTGCGCCTTTGCGACGTCTCCCGAGGAATTGGGCGCTTGGGTGCTGTTAATTATGGCATTACGTAAAAATTTTTTTGTTGTTTTTGAAATTTTTTTTTTTAGTTACTTGAGGTTATCTGTATTGATTACTTAGAGGCTCTGATAGAGTATTTCGCTGGAGCTGAGAAGAAAGACGAAAGGGAGGCTCTCGATAGCATTTTACCCGCTACGGTGGCTTTTGGGGGGAAATGATTCGATTTGGAAATGAAGCGGCCGCCGCCGTCAGCCGCTCGGCAGTGGTCGCGGAGATGGCGTCTGCAGCCGGGGGAGTCCTGGGACAGCTTTGGGGCTTTCTGTGCCCTGGGTCGGGTCTTCTCCCTCCTTTGAGGCGTTTGGTCATCATGGATGCGTGGTTGAGACCAGGGGGCGAGGGATGAGCCCGCCCGCACCCCCCCACCCCCCGGGATTGACCTCAGTTTCTCTTTGGCTTTGTTTTTAAAGATTTATTTATGTGAAAACGTTGCAGAGACAGAGGGGAGAGAGAGAGAGAGATCTCCCGTCCGCTTGGTCGCTCCCCAGATGGCTGTAACATGGGCCAGGCCTGAGCCGGGGGCTTCATCCGGGTCTCCCAAGTCGGGGGTAGGGGCCAGGGGCAACCATTTCGGTCATCTGGGCCATTAGCAGGGAGCCGGGTCGGAGGTGGAGCCGCCGGCGGGCCGGGAACCGGTGTCCATATAGGATTGCTGGCATTGCAGGCCGCAAGGGCCGACCCCTCTGGGGCTTGGTTTTGCCATTTGACCTCTGTGGGCTTTAGGTCCCCGATCGGCTTAGGAGAGACAGCATCGTCCAAGGTTAGCGATCATCGCGATGCCTGCCGTACTCGGCTAGCAGAGAGGAAGTTCAAGTTTACCCCTTGGCCCTGAATGGGGTTTTTAACATTGCATGAGGGTTATAATCTAATTTCTTCCCCGCTGGACCAGAACTCTCTTGGGATGGGAAAAGTATTTTCCATTTTTGAGATCCTGCACCATGCCTGGCACGTTGTGGTTGTGGAGTCCCTGTTGAATGAATGAATTATTGAAGTAGCATGAGCAAGATATTATAAAATCAAAAGAGCATGCACAAATACCCAATTAATACAGTGGAGGTCATTTACTCCGGTTGAGCACTGAGCAGGGGAATTAGCAAGGCCAAGTGGAATTTGTGAAAATGGTGAATAATGATGTGTTGAAGGAAGCTCTGTTCTGAGTGAGCCTGTGAGCTTGGGCAAACCAGGCTCCCTGGCTGAGCGGCACTTAGTCTTGTGTCTTACTTTACATCTCTGATCCTTTTGAATTAATAGCTGTATATGATATGAGATTTAGATTGAGACTTTTTATTATCTTTTCCCCTCCTTCCTACCCTCTCTCCTCCCCCCTCCCTCCTTCCCTTCCCTGTCTGTAAGATGTCCTTTTGTTCCAGCACCACTGGTTGAAAACCCTATGCTTCCTCCACGGAACTGAATTTCCTCTTCTGTAACAGGAAGAGGTTGGATTAGCAGTACAGGCTGTCTCTGCCCATTCTAGCTTTATTGACTTATTTATGTTGACATGCACTCCTCTGACTGAGACCATCTTTCATAGCATGCATGTGTAAGGAAGATCGTCTAGTTGTATTTCAGAATCCAGCTACTGGATGTTGTGTTAGAAGTGGTATTTTCTTGTAAAAAAAAAGAAGGGGGGGGGGGTTGAAAGATTGAGAAAGGTGGATAGAGAGCTTTAGTGAATCAGCTGTGGTTATCTTTGGACAAATATAATAAACTTTGGTTTTTGCTTCACTTGGAATGACAAAAAAGAACGTATAAAGTGTGGTTTAGGCCTTAAACACACAGCTGGTAATCTTTATCTGAACCCACACATAAAAGAAGTAAGATGGTAAATCATCGAGCTCTGTTTAAAATAGGGCAGTTGAAATGTGGGCCAAGAGGAAGTATAGTGTGATTATCAGAAAGAAAACAGAAGTCTCCGGTCTTTCTCCAGAAGATCATAATCCTTGTCACAGAGTGGACATACTGAATAATAAAGCAGTAGGGCCGGGGTGTTGGTGCAACCAGTTAAGCCACTGCTTGCAACTCCCACATCTCATGTGGGCGTGCCAGTTCATGTCCTGGCTATTCTGTTTCCAATCCAACTCCCAGCTAATGCACCTGGGAAGGCAACAGATGATGGCCCAGTGCTTGGACCACCCAAGTAGGAGACCAGGATGGAGGTCCTGACCTCAGGCTTCAGCGTGGGGCAGACCTGGCTGTTATGGCCATTTGGGGAATGAATGAGTAGGTGGAAGATCTCTCTCTCTCTCTCTCTCTCTCTCTCTCCCCCTCCCCCCCCGTCTCTGTCACTCTTTCAAATAAATTAATTAATTACATCTTTTTTTAAAATATAGATTTTTTATAAAGTGGTTTTGGTGCTGTGTGGAGTTTCAGATGTTTGTGGATCCAATATGCAAGCAAATATATAAGCAAAAGACATTTGAAAGAGTTCTGTTAAGACGATTTTTTGAGACTTACTTATTTATTTTGAAAGGTAGAGTGACAGAGAAGGAGGGAAGGAGATTTTATGCGACTGTTTAACCTGCTGAGCCACAATGAGTTTTGTTCCTAAAATCTGTAGTTTATGGGACAGCGCTGTGGTGTAGAAGGCTAAGCCTCTGCCTGCAGTGCCAATTCTAGTCCCAGCTGCTCCACTTCCAGTCCGGCTCCCTGCTAATGTGCCTGGGAAAACAACTCAATGGCCCAAGTGCCTGAGCCCCTGCACCCACGTGGGAGACCCGGAAGAAGATCCTGGCTTCGGCCTGGCTCAGCCCTGGCCGTTGTGGCCATTTGGGGAGTGAACCAGTGGATGGAAGATCTCTCTCTGTTTCGCCTTCTATCTCTGCCTTTGAAATAAATAATTAAAAAAATTTTTTTAAAGATTTTATTTATTTATTCGAGAGATAGAGTTACAGACAGTGAGAAGGAGAGACAGAGAGAGAGGTCTTCCATCCATTGGTTCACTCTCCAAATGGCCACCATGGCTGGAGCCGTACCAATCCGAAGCCAGGAGCCGGGAGCTTCTTTTGGTCTCCCACACGGGTGCAGGGACCCAAGGACTTGTCCCATCCTCTGCTGTTCTCCCAGGCCACAGCAGAGAGCTAGATCAGAAGAGGAGCAGCCAGGACTAGAACTGGCAGCCATATGAGATGCTGGCGCCACAGGTGGAGGACTAACCTGCACCACTGCGCTGGTCCCATTTTTTTTTTTTTAAAGATTTATTTTATTGATTTGAGAGACGGAGTTACAGAGAGAGGTAGAGAGAGAGAGAGAGTGGTCTTCCATCCGCTGGTTCACTCCCCAGATGGCCGCGCCGGCCAGTGCTGCGCAGATCTGAAGGCAGGAGCCAGGAGCTTCTTCCAGGTCTCCCACATGGGTGCAGGGGCCCAAGGACTTGGGCCATCTTCTACTGCTTTCCCAGACCATAGCAGAGAGTTGGATCGGAAGAGGAGCAGCTGGGACTAGAACCGGCGCCCATTTGGGATGCCGGCATTTCAGACCAGGGCTTTAACCCTCTGCACCACAGTGCTGAGCCCCTCAATTTTTTTTTAAATTACAAGATCTCTCCTAGGTTTTTAGATAATGAGTCAGAACAAGGTGACTTAAAAAAGCCATTCTCTGAGAGTCCATGGTCTCTATAGTTACTTCTCCTGGATCTTCAGCTTGTGAGCTTTCAAAATTAAGCAGATTCTGTACTTGAATAGAACACCACCACAAAATACCTGTTCAGAGAAAAACAATAATAGCAACAGAATAGTAAGAGGTTGAAAGGAGTCTGGCCATTTTGAAAAATGATTTGGATGTTTTTACCTTCCTGAAGCAAACTCATTTTAGAATACTAGAAGGAGACTCTATCATGTTGAGAAATGAGCAAGCAAGCTCAACAGTTAGGGAGGCCCTAACAGTGCAGCATGTTAGATGGAATGAAAGAAAAGTGTTGGGCCAGTGCTGTGGCGCAGAGGGTTAAAACCTTGGCCTGAAGCCGGGCACCCCATACGGGTGCCGGTTCTAGTCCTGGCTGCTCCTCTTCCGATCCAGCTCTCTGCTGTGGCCTGGGAAAGTAGTGGAAGATGAGCCAAGTCCTTGGGCTCCTGCACCCGCGTGGGAAACCTGGAAGAAGCTCCTGGCTTGAGATAGGATTGGCTCTACTCAGCTCTGGCTGTCGTAGCCATTTGGGGAGTGAACCAGCGGGTGGAAGATCTCTCCCTCTTCCTCTCTCTCTGCCTCTCTCTATGCTTTTCAAATAAATAAATGAAAGAAAGAAAAGAGGGATTACATTTTTGAGAGTCATTCTATAAAAAAATCGCAAATTGTGAGTTAAACATGTTTTTGTTCCAGTTCTGCTACTACAAGGCTGTCTGACCCACGGTAATTCTGTTACTTCTCTGGCTCTTTCCTCATATAGAACATTGGATATTTGGACAGATGACATTTAAGTTGCTCCTACCTCTAAAATTTTGTGATTCTTTTTTTAGACTCTTAATTCTTTCTTATTCATATAGTGTAGAATTATCCATTGACTCAACAGATATTTATACAGCACCCACGTTGTTCAAATTCAGTACTGTGATGGTGCTGAAGATTTAAGAATGAGTTATACAAAATAGAGAAGGTCATGTTGTATGATTCCATTGATATGAAATGTCCATAACAAGCACAACCATAGAGATGAGAAGTAGATTAGCGGTTGCCAGGGAGGAAGAAAATGGGAGTGACTGCTAGTGAGCATGGGGTACCTTTCAGGGATTATGACAATGTTTTGGCATTTGATAGTGGTGATGGTTGTACAACTTTTTGTATATGCAAAAGAACACTAAATTGTACCTTTAAAAAAATAAAGAATGAACTAGATCAATACAGCTTTGTCCTCATGTTAGCTGACAGTAGGTGGTGGAATACAAAGAGGGAACTATGATATAGTATTTGTTACAATGAGTACATAACT